GAGAGAGAGAGAGAGAGAGAGAGATTACACAATGCAGAAAAGCTATGGCCATATAATTTCATTTTTTAATCAAAATACTTTAAAAATATCCTTCCTATACAGCCATCCCCATGTGTCAGCTTCCCTAATAGGTTTATGTTAACTGAATACAAAAGAAATGTGAAATAAATGTAACCAGGAGGGATGATCCAATCTAATTCTGATACATTAATGTCATATGCTGTACATGTTACAATAGCAGCCAGATCTAATACTAAGCTCCAGGCTATCCTGAGATTTCCAAATGGCAGATTGTTCTAAGTGATATCAAGTATAATTGAAGTAATAAATGATAGTAAAAGCTGAGCACACTGTCAGGAAGAATTTAAGTATTTACTTTTTAAAATTAAATGAGTTAGGTTAGGAAAGACAAGACAACTGAAATAATGCAGGTCTCAATTTACAGAAAATTCCTTTTATTTATCTGCTACATTAACCCTGGAACTCTTGCCAAAATTATCTATAATTTCTAGTGCCACTTATCTAAAGAAACAAGAGAACAAGGCAACTGTACTATTATCTTTTAACCAAAGTTGTCTTCAAATATCTTTTACATAGCATTTAAAGCTCTGTTACAGAAGATTAAAAGAACACACTTTTTTTTTTTGGTCATAATGTATTTTTTTTCATAGAAACATATACAGCAACAAATCATTCTACATGTATTTGATATTTAAAGGAAGAACTTTCATGGAAAAAATCCTTTATTATTTAGATTCCAATGCTAAAAATATAAATGTTTGAGGGTGTCATAATGACATTTTTAACTTTAAAACCTGCAGTATACTGGATAAAGAGAAACTGAGATGCTGTTAATCATCACTGTACATTTGGGGAGTTTCTGAAAGAGCGTTTTCTAGTTATCAAAAGGTGACAAAAGTCATAATACCACTAATAAAAGCCAAGTTAGCAAACACATGAGGTGTGTCTATATTTGGTACAAATACCTTCTATACTATTTTATATTTCTTTCTTTCTTCTTAAGGACTTAAAAGACTATTTCTTGTACTTTAAAATTTCTCAATGGAGCACCTATCTATATGATTTTCTTTCTCTAGCTCATTTTTTGAGACGGGGTTTCTCTGTATAGCCTTGGCTGACCTGGAATTCAATATGAAGATGAGGCTAGCCTCGAACACAGAGAGCATGCCTCTGCCTCCTGAGTATTTGTATTAAAGGCATGTACTACCATACCCAAACTATGTTATTATGTTATATGTTATTAACCTATGTGCAAATCAATTTTTAAAAGAGCACCAGACTGCTGTGTATACAGGAGAGGTCTGTACAATGACTGGTAACCAAAGTATTCTTCTAAATTCACTTCAACTGCTACTGACATCACTCTGGAATTTAATGGTACTATAGGCTTCAGATGGCTAGTATTAATTCACGAAGAAAAAGCAATGAAAGTCAACATGTGTGAACTGAAGTCCTTTATCCACTACAGAATGTTAATACTGGAAGATACCCTAAAGGTATAATTGCGTTTTCCGATACCTCAACTGTGGTATTCCAAGGAGTAGATATCTAACCTCTGCTCTAACCCTTTTAAAGTTGGAGTGCACTTGTTCAAAATTAGCCCATAATACCTTTCAGGAGTGAAAATTATCATAATATTATTTTTCTAATTTTTTTTTATTTGAATTAGAAACAAGATCGTTTTACATGTCAATTCCAGTTCCCTCTCTCTCCCCTCCTTCCCAACTAACACCCTACCTATCCCATACCGTTTCTGCTCCCCAGGGAGGGTGAGGTTTTCCATAGGGGGCCTTCAGAGTTGGTCATATCCTTTGGTATAGGGCCGAGGCCCATCCCATGTGTCTAGGCTCACAGAGTATCCCTCTATGTGGAATGGGTTTCCAAAGTCCACACCTATACTAGGGATAAGTAGTGATCTACTACAAGGAGCCCCATAGATTTCCGAGGTCTCCACTGACACCCATATTCAGGGGTTCTGGATCAGTCCCATACTGGTTTCCCAGCTATCAGTCTTGGGGCCAAGAGCTCCCCATTGTTCAGGTCAGCTGTTTCTGTGGGTTTCACCAGCCTCGTGTGGACCCCTCTGCTCATCAGTTCTCCTTCTCTGCATCATAATATTCTTTACATGAAGCAAACCCTGCCTTTCTGACACTAGTTCTTCAAAAATGGGCCTTACCAAATGAACCCAAAACTTGTGTTCTATACTTTATCTTTTCAGGTATTTGAAGATCATTTTAATATCTTCACTTTTTTTTCAGGTTAAAAGTGTCATTTCCCTGGGTTATTTTCTTAGTTTACTGATGTTTCTTGTATTTGGAATAGAATAGAATATCAATATTTGCCCTGACACAGCAAACTCATTAACAGGACTATTTCTTCCACTGTCACTAAATGATTTTCTGAAACTTTTTATGGCACTATTGAACAGCTAGCCAACTCACACTCTTCCCTGCAAAGTTCTTTTTAACAGGGCCCTCTGTATGTGGGAGACAGTTGGGAAGCTTCAACTATCAGAGGGGCCACTGGCAGTAGGACCACAATACAAACCTGGTAAATGAAGCAGCTTGTTGGAGCCCATTCCCTATGGTGGGATGCCATATTCGGCCTTAATACATGGGAGAGGGGCTTGGCCCTCTCAGACTTTGTTGACTCCTCATAAGAGCTCTTACCCATGGGGAAGAGTGCACTGGGGGTGGGTGGGAGAACTTTGGTTGGAATGTCAAACAGAATTCAAAATATAAATGATATAAAAAAATCTTGCCAGGCATAGTGGTATATGCCTCTAATCCCAGAACTCTGGCAGGCAGAGGCAGGTGGATTTCTGAGTTCAAGGCCATCCTGGTCTACAAATTGAGTTTCTGGACAGCAAGGGTTATACAGGACTACCTCATCTCAAAAAACTAAAAAATATTTATAATTTCTAGATTTTAAAGAACATTTATTTAGTATATATGTATATATGTGTACATATACATGCATGCATGATCATATGTGCGCATATATGCCACAGCATAAGTGTGGAAGTCAGAGGGCAGCTTTTGGAAGCTGGTTCTCTCCTTCTACCATGTATATTTCTAGGGGATTGAACTTAGGTTCCCAGGCTTGGAAGCAAGCTCCTCTACCCATTGAGGCACCTTCAAAGTTCTTTTAAACAGGCAAAACCAATTGCTCCATTTAAAGAGAGGATGTAGTCTTACTAAGTTTTACTCTGCCAAGTCTAGGTTATCTGTAAGCTTGCTAGGGTCTATTGTTAGCCAGATTCTGCTATTCAGTGCACTGGCCCATTCTTTTTTAGATCAGAGTTATCATTAAGTTAACATTCTTATGTCTTCATTCAAGTTCTGAACAAAAATGCCAAATGGTTTACATAAGAGAGTCATTGCAGATTTTCATTTCATTTAAAAAGATGCCTTTTATTTATTAAGGGTTTTTTTTTTTTTTTTTTTTTGGAGACAGGGTTTCTCTGTGTAGCTTTGGAGCCTATCCTGGCACTCACTCTGGAGACCAGGCTGGCCTCGAACTCACAGAGATACTCCTGCCTCTGCCTCCCTAGTGCTGGGACTAAAGGCGTGAGCCACCAAAGTCCGGCTATTAAGGGTATTTATTACACATTATTTAAGACCATACTATTCTACATTTCTGTGATAATTCACTTCATTTTTCACAACAATTATAAGACAAGTACAATCAGTACTGTTACTATTTTTCCAGATAAACAATTGAAGCTTAAAGGATGAAGTTTGACTAAGATAGAAAAAAAGAAAAGAAAAGAAAAAAAAAAACCTTTAAAAAAAGCTGT